GTGTGTGTGTGTGTGTGTGTGTGTGTGTGTGTGTGTGTGACTATAGCAGCGTTTTGTCCCCTGGCCGAGTGGGTGGTGAGGGCAAGGTCCTGCTACGACATCCCACAAATTAGACATCCAAGTGTATCATTTTATCTTTACGTGCATAATTACCTTCAAGTTAATTGAGGTGAATCTGCTCCTAAATCTTTTTTTAGATCGATTTTAATACTTGAACTGAAAACTCACTACATTAACCGGTTTCTGGTTCTTTCGAGTTTTGCAGCAAACAAATTGACTACAATTTAAGTGAAATTATCTGACCTGTCATCTTTATGCCACACATTCCTTTTCCTTGTCAGAGCCCAGCATCTAAATTATCGGCAAAAAAAAAAACCTCAACCAGATAGGCTGAACGTTTCATTAAAGTTACAGCAGTAGCCAGTACAGTAATTACTTTACTCCTAAAAGTTAAGCTTTTTTTTTTTAAACGCAGTGACACCCACGACCTGAAAAACACACAGATGTGTCAAATCGGTGGATTTTTCCTTTAAACAGATGAAACTAGAGGCCATTAATAAGCCTTTTCCTATAATAAGCTCCAATTTTTTCCTCCAGAAATTCCAACACGTTTGCTGAACAAGGCCCCGCAGTGCAGATGGCTGTAGGTGGATTAACTCTTCGTGTGCCAACGCTGACAGCAACAAGGGCAGCTCTGAACCGGGCGGTGCTGGGCCAGACCCAGCTACGACCACAGCTATGCGGTTGTTTGTTCAGCCCTCATGCCCGGGGGCTAAATACAGACGGTGATAGATGAAGGATGCCTACGAGCGCGCTCGCCCAAAATGACTAAGACATTGTGAGTTTCAGATAGTTTCATCCACGACGAGTCCTGGGTTGGCTTTCTTTTCAACAGTGGGATGAGTTTAAATCGGGCGATTCATCAATTCGAGGGGATAAATTCACGACAGCAAGAAAAACTTGCCACAAAATTGAAAATAAAAAAGGGGGAACAACCTTCTGTCCTTTATAAATTATTTTTCACTTATTTACAACAGCCTCCCTTTGTGTAACAATAAATACTCTCTGTTGCTGACAGACATAAATAAAAGGCTCTGAAACAATCGTCTGTGTTCAGTTTCACAGTCAGCACAATCACCTGCAAGAAGAGAACCCGCTCCTCTCAGGACTCACTTTCATTCATGGCTCATTAATTCTTATGCAAAAGAAATGCAATAAGAGGCACTTTTCACCAGCTTTTTTTTTTTTTAGTTCAACAAGAACAAAAAAAAAAAGCTAAATTTGCTCAGTTGTAAGAAGCATTTATCTTAGTGAAAAATCTAAATAAATACAGAAAGGATGCGTGAATAAAGTTCATTGAAATAGAAAAAAAGAAGACTTGTGCTGATGTTTGATGGGTAGAATCAAACGCTCTCCATTGTTTTTTAATTCTTCAGGCAGATTGTTTGGGTTCCCACCACTGAAACCAGAAAACGAAGCAACTCTCCACAACAAGGTGTTTTCTTTGGAACTGCAGAAATATTGAAAATGGGGGGGAAAAAAGTGCAAAATTACGTCTGTTCAAAAGAAAGAAAGGTTTAGTCCTCGTATCTCACGTTGTCACCGGGTCCTCAGATAGTCTGGTGTGGAGTAATTGAAGAGCATAAAGTCCATCCGATACAAGTTGAACAGTTTCTTCTGATAAAAAGGACTGATGTGTTTGAAGAAGCGTGCTGCCATGTTGCCATCGGTCCTGGTGCTTTTGCCAGATGTTGGAAACTGAACTGTTCCTTCCACGCTGGCTAATCTGAGGACCGCCTGAGCGTCAGGTTCCAGAGTTTCGTACTTGCCCACCACATCATAGTGGATGAGGCAGGGGTGGCACAGGGAGTGCACCCGCTCCCAGTGCTCGTTGAAAGGCTCCTCCCGCTGGGTCCGAGGGTCCACGAGGTACTGAACGAACTCGCGGAAAGTGACGTCGTTTCCTTTCTCCAGGGCGTCGGGCTCGGGGTCGGTCCGGTACCGTTGGATGATCTTCGTTCCGTAGCGTTTGTGGAAGGCCGTGTTGTAGCTCCGCGTGAACTTGTTCCTGTAGGCCGACACGATGCGCTCGAAGGGCTCGCGCACGAAGATGAACTTGAGGTAGCTGCGAAGGCGCTGGTTGATCTCCGCCACGGAGAACTCGGAGAGCGTGCGGAGGTTACCTGCGACGTGAGCCTCGTTGGCCGGGATGGCGAGGGGGTCGGTGTAGCGGCCGTCGCTGGTCAGGACCATGAGCACACGCTTCCAGTTGGTGCAGGCTACCTGGAAGATACAAAACACACACACTTCTAAAAACTGTTGTTTTACGTTACTATTCGTTCTGCTACTGGTCAAGGTTATAATAGTTTATTTTTCATTATGGTTTAGTTTTATTTTGTTGTGACTTTTTTATTTTAATTCAGTTAGTTGTTCCTTTTTACAGTGGATTTGATAGTTTTTATTACTTATTTCATTTTTAATGCTTAGTTTTAGTTTAGTTTGGTTTTTATTAGTTCTAGTATTAGTTTTGTTTATAGTTTGAATAAATATATCTGTGAATTAGTGTTGGGCATAATCGTATCGTGTGCAATTAATCGCCAGAAAAACATTAATCGATTATTTTTTTGTCACTTGACGATAGTTCTGTAATTTATTTATCTATCAACACAATTTAAAATTTGATGTATAGCCTCAAGTCTGTAATTTTGGCACAATTTGGAACAAGAGTTTTACGTAGAGCAAATCTTTCCCACGAAATTGGTCATGTGACCAGGACATAAGAGTGTCCAGGGGGTTAACCGTCAAATTAATCGTAATCAGCTAAATACCACAATTAAAGGCACAGTGTGTAGGATTTGTTGTTTTCAGCGACATCTAGTGGTTGAGTGGTTGAATCATCCTCCCTGGTCCTCCCCCCCACCCCCACCCCCCGCTTCCAAACGGAGTTGCTACGGTGTCTCTCAGGTGTCAAAAACCTTTGATAATTCCAACCGCGATGTCTACCAGCAGCTTCAGGGCTAGTGATGTTTCAAGTGGTAAGATTATGAGCTTTAATAAGTAAAATTATCCCAGCTACAATGACAGACAACAAATATTACATTTATAGTATTACAAATAAAACCGTTTTTGACGCCGCCACTGCAGTTTGTCCTTCATGAGCCTTCGTAGACAAGATGGCGGTGCAAGATGGCGGCTGCCTGTAGTGGCGACCCGCGACCATGGAGATATAAACAGCTTTTTATAAGGTAAAAATAATAAAACAAGGTCTTTGTCTGCAATGATTAGACATGTTTTTTTATTATTGTCATTAGTGATTACCTCAATTTCTGCTAAAAGAATTGACAAAATCCTACACACTGTGCCTTTAATCGTGATTAATTTTTTTGCTAATATTGCCCAACCCTACTGAATGCATTCTCAAGCTTGTGATGTTCCTGTGAGTTAACTAACCAGCAGTTTTTTTTTTTTTGGTCGCTAGTTAAAGCAGTCCATTTTAGCGACAACTTCCTAAAATAATTGCGTAACTCAATTTTGCCTTAAAAAAAGGACTTGGGCGATTATTTTAGAACAATGACAATAGTTGTCTCCAACCCGGTTACCTGTTACTTGTTTTTCACAGGAGCTACTGAGAGAAACTAGTGTGTCAAGATAGTCACAGCTAGCCTTCTTGTGCTAGCTTGATTCATACAGTTTTTCCCTTGAGGAGTTTTCCACCTGTTTTATCACCTGTTTCCACTACAAGACACTTGCTTTGATTTTTCTCACTGAAATTCAAAGAAATCCCAAAGTGGACGTTGCTTTTGAACTTTTGTTGTCGTCATTTAGCAGACGATGCTGAGCAGCAGCAGACTGTAAACAGGTGTTGTTACAGACCATGAGGTGCTGTAAGCTGCCCACAGCTAATATGAAAGTACTTGATTTTAAAAAATAAATAAGTTGACAAACACTAAAACTAAGGATAATCTATCTATAATTTCAGTTAGTTTTTGTTAGTTTTGTAACAGGATTATACAGTTTTAGTTATGGTTTTTGTCATTTTATTACAGTTTTTTATTTATTTTAGTTAACTAAAATGTTTTTTCAATTACAGTTTTTGTTATTTAGTTACTTTTAGTTAACTATAATAACCCTGCTATTGATTAGAAATTAAAAACTAAAAATAGCCAGGTTTCCACAATTTGGTTAAAATTTAGGAACAAAGAACTCTGCATGTTGTCATTTATGTAATACTGGGTACTTAACATGGCAAATGTGATACTTGTGTTGCTTTGTCTCGAGTGGTTTACCTTCTTCTGTAAGGCCAATTCCTCCCTCCCTCCCTTTCAGGGTCATGGGGTCACTGGTGCCCATATCCAGCAGTTATTAATTCCCAATAGGGAAATTCATGCTCTGCATTTTTCCCATTACACATGGGAGCAGGGGGCTGCCATCTAAGTTGTCTGGGAAGCAGCTGGAGAGTTAAGGGTCTTTCTCAAGGGTCCACGTGGGGCAAGATGTGGGTGCCACACCTTTCCCACACAAAATGTATTTACCTCCGAATCACAAGCTCACCTTCTCTAACCACTATGCATTTAACTTTTGACAGTATTTCTGTATTATTTGTTTCACACTTAGTCAGTCATACACATAGTATTTTCAGTGTTTATAAGAAGACGAGTTAAAACACTGAATCTATGCAGGAAACACCAGGTAGAGCTCAGTTTATTAGCAGTGCTCAGCCACAGCAATTAGATGAGTAAAGTGACGTTTCCTTTTCAGTCGAAACTAAACATAAAATGTCAAAGTTCATAAAAACTGGCTCTTAGAGGACCATCGTAACACTCATGTGCCCCTCTGTCAAAAAGACTTTGATGCCCCTGCTATTTTATTTATTTATTTATTTACAGTTATTTAACCAGGCAAGTCCCATTGAGATCTCAGATCACTTTTTCAAGGGAGGCTTAGGCCTGAAGACAACCTATTGTACATGTTTTTGGGGGTGGGGGAATCCCGAGTACCTGGAGAAAACCCACACAAGCACGAGGAGAACATGCAAACTCCACACAGAAAAATCCCAGTTCCGAACCGGGGATTGAACCCAGGACCTTCTTGCTGTTCTACATGCTAATAATATACAGCATTTGGTCAATCCAACAAACGAACTGGCCTTGATCCCACCTGCTTTTAGATGATAGTGATGACAATAGAGGGGCGTGAGGAAAATGCGGGTTTATCACAACTGATATTAATACTGAAATGTTCAAATTTTAAAATGACGGGACTTCCTTTTTTATCATGACTAAACACGCACTGACAACTGTCACTGCCTTGCTTTGATACTGGAAAAACAAGACAATTATGTCACATTTCTTGGCTAATCATTTATTCCTTTGATTTATGTTTATTTGTGCATGAACGTCTCGGTAGTTACAGCTTCTGAAAGCATACCTACATACTGATGTATTAAATATGTTCGCCGCAAATTTCAGTATGGATTTAGATGAGTTATGACTAAGAAGATTACAAAACCACAAATCACATTACAATAAACTGTTGCCTTTGGCGCGTCAGTCAGCCTCTATCTCTTATAACTCATGCAGTGGTTTTTAGCTTTCTGACTCCTACTCTGACAGTCAAGCCTTTTCCGCACACCCTCCGACTTCTTGTCTATAATTTCAGCTCCACTGATTCAGCTCATGTTCACCAACCTTTGGTACATAGCAGTAAATAAGGCTGTGTTTGTCATCCACAATGAGGTGTTTCAGATCCTCTGGTGAAAGCACCCGGCGCTTCCTCGTGTGGCTCAGACACGCCTGCTCCAACAGCTCCCTGCGGCCTTGGAGGGACTTCTGAGCCGCCGACAACTGAACCTGCTTTTGATAAAGACGAAGCAGGATGAACGAACGGAAGAAGAAGAAAAAAGAACCAAATGTGACACATAGAATCTTTTAAACAGGAAATTCCGAAACAGGTTGGCAGGAAATTTATTAGTAGATTTGACTTTAACCAAATTAATGTGTTTATAAGTTGTTTAAAATATCTTACTTGTATTTATACAAATTAAACATATCCATGAGTTTAGGAAATCCATGAAACAAATAAAAAAATCTAATTTATATACACATTACATTCTAATTTATGTACTCCTTATCAAAACAAAAACATATGGTACAGTATGTGAAGATGTTTAGGCCAGATTAGAAAAAAATAACTATTTATGTAAGGTTATATTCTATAAATAATAGTTTTGAAATTATTAGCAGAAACACTAAACTGATTTCCTCTTAACTTGAGCTAAAGGTTGTTGGAGATACTCATTAATAAATAGATAAAATATGTATATTTTTAAGTTTTTTTAAAACAGCAGCAGAACACTTAATAAAATGTTCCACAGATTAAACTGATGACTTTTGTGCTTCTACGATGATGCTGAAAATTTGCTTAGAAGTTGTCAGATCCAGTTTCTCAAAAGCCTCACTAGTGTATTTTAGGATTGTAAAGAGCATCATCGAAAGGTCTAAAACTGCACTTTAGACAACAGAAATAGCATCATGGAAATCCTACCACTCTCTCCACGTTTTCTATTTTAAAGTCAGGAAGAAAAGTAAAAATCATAGTAAAAAACTGTCCTAATAAATTATGTTTGTCAGTTTCTTTAGGCTACTTTTTGTGTCTTTTATTTGCCTCCCCCCTGGTTAGTGGTCTATTTGTGTGTTTGTTGTCACCTGGTCTCCTTTGTAGAGGGTCTGTAGTGGGCTTCTCCTGCTTTTTGCTGGTCTGCTGCCAGACTTCAAAGGTGGTTCTAAACATTAAAAAAATACAATAAACAATCAACAACGAACATATTCAACAAATCATGTATATAAAACATTTTTTGCTAAGGTTATGAATAGTAGAGCCCGCGAGGGGACATGGGGTTGATTTTTTTTTTTTATTTTGCGTCCCTCGCAATATTGTTTTGTGTTCCCACAAAACCTTGTTTTGTATGAACTGAATTAAATCCGACTTTTATTTTGAAACAGGACGTGTCGCCACAAGTTCGGGAAGTTGACATTGATGTTGCGCGGCTGCACTGAGTTATAATATCGGCACATTACATATTCCCACACATCGCTGAGATATATTCATTCTGAAGCTGAATTAAAGTAGTAGGCTAACTCCCGTATAATGGTGAGCAGGTGAGTTTGTTAATAAACAAACAGTGATAAACGACTTTTGCGAGGGAATGCAGAAAGTGTTGAGGTAACACAATCCCATTACGCGGGAACGCAATAAAGAAAAAAAAAAACTCCCATGCCCCCTCGCAGGCTCCATAGAATAATTTTCACACTGTTTTTTTTCTGTATTATTATTATTATTATTATTATTATTATTATTATTATTATTATTATTATTATTATTCACACTTTTATTAATAGCTCTTGAGGTTTACATTTCTTGGAAGTCTATCGGGGTCAGAATCTGCAGATTAGCTGCTGACAACAATTGTATTATTTAATTCAACGCTGCTTTATTCTCTCCACACAAAAAATATAATTCAATCTGTTACTGAATTAAAATAAAATGTGTGTTCTTATTAGTTTACCAACTGTAACTATACATAGTTTGTGTTTTGTTTTGTTTTTTTGTGTCTAAGAAGGCAAGAATCTTCACAGACTTCTTTGACAGGCTTCCTGCTGAGCTAAGACTAAGTCACTAATGAGAAAAAAATAAAACTGTCATGCGTTTACAGGGGCTTAAATTACATTGTAAAGATGTCCAAACAGTGTTGTGCCAGAATTATTCTGAGCCAACTTTCCACTGCTCAGATTTATGAGGAGGAAAATACCCCCATCCTTCCATTTATAGATTCCATAGAAACAGTTTGTTGCTGGAAAACAATGGGCCTCATGCAGGAACATGTTCGCATTCTTATCCTAAATTTCTCTTACTTTTGTTCGTACGAAGGGTTCGTACGAACATGTCATGTGA